CATAAACAGTTTTAGATATAACTCGAAATAAACTTCTTGATATAACTCGAAATAAACCTCTTTAGATATCTCGAAATAAACCGTCTAGATATAGCCAAGCTAAAAGGAAAAAATAAAGAATGTTAAGAAAGGAAATAGGAAATTTGCACAGGAACCAGATAAAATGCCTTTAACTAATAAACGAACAATTTAAAACTATTAAGTGAACAACTTCACAGTGACCAAAATTAATATGAAAAGGAAAAATCTTATTTAACATATTTAAAAATAGTAAAGCTAATATCTCATTCCAAACAAAATAATATATAAAATTATATAAATCGAACATGTGATATCCATTGTTGATATTGAGGTTTTGTACAATATTTGACATTTTAAATAAGAAATCTTTAAAAATATATATATATTTAACAATATTTAACAATATATTAGTTTTAAATCTTACCTTATAAAATCAGACGAAATATACGATAGATAAAAATGATTTAGTACATCGGATGACCCAGATAATTTAAAATTTAAAATCAACCTGATTTGTTGACAGATACAAATCAAAATAAAATACGAACTTTTGACGCAAGGCATAAACGACAAATGACATTTGAGTAGAGATGTTTGTGTCAAAATAACGAAAACGGTTCCAACCGTTACAATGTTATGGTTCAAAATCCATATGAATGTACTGGGATGCCTTTGCCACAAAAATAATATATATAGTATTGACATTTAACTTTTAATTTACTTTAATTTATTATTTAAGTATACTCCGTTTTGGGTAGAAGTTTAATAGGAGATCCATTTCTCATGTTCTGTGAGTTAACTAGAATGAAAATATACCTTTTATAAGTCCATTGTCAAATTGGAAATTGTAGAAGTTTAACCAAAAGATAAAAATCAAGCATTTCTTTCTTGTTTTGAAGATTCGTTCTGGTCCTCTGTAGATATATTATCCATTGTTTTTCTTAATTAGTTTGTAGTTAAGTTCTAGGAGCCTAAAAGGGACAAAGAAACGTTTTGAATTCTATAAATGGTTTTAGGGTTCATTTTCTTTGTTTATTTACATTAATTAGGACATAATGTCATTCAAATTTATTCAGGTAATTATCTAATTCATTACAAATAATTAAAACCCCAAATAATCTGGGTAATTTTGGAATTAGGTAGGTGATTGTGAGAAATTGGCTAATAATATTTTAAATTACCTATCATATTTTATTATCATTTCCTGTGGAAGTCATTAATTTTGTTGGTGCATATCCTGCATCCATTTTTCATTCTTCTAGTATCCCTTCATGGAACATGTGTTTTTGAAGATCTTTTTATAAGGATATAAGATACTAGAAATGAAAAGAAATTGAAAATTTATTTAGTATTACTATTTGTTGGTATACTTAATCTCACAAGAGGATTTTATTTTCAATTAAACAAAAACATACTTCTTAAAAAATGCCACATTTCAACACAGGTACAGTTTTTTCTCATTTATCACTTTTGTCCTTCCTTAATATAAGATTGTATATATAAAGTAGCCATAGATAGTTTCATTTCATTTTTCTTGTTCGATTAATTTACATTAGAACAGTTACGTGTAATTCCGGACATCACATTAATTTGAGGTAGTCTCAAGGACAGATGTATTTGAGAACCTTACTGCTGGATAGTAGTAAACTATTGAGACACCGTTTTCATCCCTTACTCACTGGAGTTACCTACAAACGAAGAAAAGGACGATATTTTAATTGGAGGTTGAGATAAGTGGATCTATTCATACCTTTGAATCCAATAGGCTATTTTCAAGTAACCCTTCCAAAGAGGTCTTCGAATTCAACCCTTGCCTAGGTAGGATAGTGTCAATCTCCAAGGTAGGAATTTTACTGATTATACTAGCTCAAGACTATCAGATAGAAGGTGTTATCACACAAAATATCTCCACCCTCAGTGTTTGGGAATACTCTGAAAATTGTATATATTAATAACCTGTTAGTTTGTATATATATTAAAATCATTTATTTTGTAAGCAACCCAGAATAGATATCTGTTTTAAACGGTACGTAAGCTGTATATTAAATTCAAAGGACTTACCTATACATCCGAAATTATAGCTAGATATTGAATAAAACCTCAGGATTCTCCTTTAATATCTAATAAGCACGTTTTAATTATATACCATAACCCTTAAAATTATTATATTCTTCTTTTTCATTTGCGGTGTCCATAAGATAATTTACCTAGGTAAAAATCGATTGTATCTCGGTACAATCGCCAAACGGTCTAAACCAAATCAGACATTCAGCCAATTTCGAAGATAAAAGGAGAAAAATTACCTACGACCCTTTCTTTGACTGAGCAGTGAGAATTAATTTCCCATAATATATTGTTTTGCTCTGTAGGTCATAGCAACAATACAAGAAGTGTTTTTCCTTAGTAATAAACAAAAGTTGTTAATACGAGAGTTATTAGGAATATAACTTATTAGTAAATTAGTGAAGTATAAGAACAAAGTACCAGCTACAAAAAATAGCCATTTGTGGAATGTTAAATTCCTCTAACAGTAAAAAATTACTTAAATTTATAAAAGATACTAACATTTACTCTGTACTAGCCAAAATGTCAATTATCCATTGCATACTATTGTAGAAAACAGCATTTATAAGGTATTATACCTCCGGTAATGATCATTTGAGGTTAAAGCGGTAAATAAAAAAAAGAATTTAACCTACTTTATGAATGTATTTAATGTAATTTCTGTTAAAACATAAAAACCTAAATCTGTTTACATGAACGTAAAAACATAGAAAATATCTTTCAAATGAGGTATCACATGACCCTACTTTCTATTAGAAAAATTAAAGCTAGTAACTTCCTCTATCTTACGTGTCTCAAGTGAAGTGCATCTCATTATAACAAAAATATAATATCTCTTGAGTTTTACCTAGTTTTTGTTTTGTCATTATCCTTTTTCATTTAGAAGTTAAAATAGAGGAGGGTACAATTTTCGTCCTCACTGTATATAATACATTCGTTTGTATTATCTTTTCTTTAACAGTTTTTCAAAAACACGCTTAAAAATTTTCAATTTATCTTCAAAAGTAACCTCAGAAAAGCAGAATGATATAAATATAAGAAATGATTGTATAAATTTTAAATAAATGAATTGAGAAATATTTTTTTTTATAAATCACTACTTATAAAATCCTAATAACACAAATATCGTTACCATTTAATATATATAAGGGGTTATGATGGACAAGTAATGTTATTTTTAACAGACACGTTATTTATAAACAGGTTGATATTTCTGTGTATTTATAAAATAACAGACCTGTTAAAAATAACAGAGGTTGTCAATCATAACCCCCATAGAATAGAGGTGTTATATTTAATTTTTTGACTATCTCAAAATCTAATATGTTAAAATTTTAAGTTACGATAAGCAATTGAAAATTTCAAATAAACAAAGAGAAAATTGTTCGAGAGAGCCCGAGAGACCTCGAGAGAAACGAGAAATTCTCGTTGAGAGATGACACTTTCTCGTCTCGTCTCGAATTTGTTTTCGAGAGAAAATGTCTCTCTCGTATCGTTCGAGACGAGACGAGAATCTCTTGTCTCGCGGCATCACTAGCCAAAATAGTAAAACTCTGACTTAGAATTTTTAGCTGTTTTACCCTATATATTAAACAATATGTAAATATTAGGGCTCGGAATTGTATTCGGATAATTCGATAATTCGAATATTCGAATACTCAAAATTCGATATTTTTAGATCGAAATTATTCGAATAGTCGAATAGTCGAATATTCGAATAGTCGAATATTCGAATATTCGAATAGTCGAATATTCGAATATTCGAATAGTCGAATATTCGAATAGTTGAATATTCGAATACTCGATATTCGAATATTCGACTAATTGAACTAGGTAGGTATTCGATACTCGAATATTTGACTATTCGAATACTTAAATATCGGAATACTGTAAATGTTCAAATATTCGGATATATATTTTGAATTAATTTATATACCTAATTTAAATATTTCTTCTTTATCTATTGCTTAAGAATAAAGGTAGAAGAAAAATGAATAACAAAATTCTGACTTGAGATTCGGGACTAATACGTTACGGCAACAATGTATTTATTTATTTATTTCCTTGTAGTGCTGGCGTTTTATTTGGTAAATGAGAAAAACCCCAACATTGTCTGACATTCGCACTTTTCACACGCTTGTTTATGTTTGTTAAGTTATAACTTACTAGTTATTTTATTCATATTAGTGGGTGTATGTCTGTCAGTCAACGTTTGTCCGATACAGATGTTAAATATGAGTTCAGAACGCAGTAAGATTTGGCTTTACTTCGATAAAAAAGAAAATCGTGTGTAGTGTATATTAATAACTTACAATGTCATACACAGAAGTAATACCAGTAATTTGTGGAATCAATTAAGAACTAAGCATCATACCAAAACAATAAGGTATGAATTATACGTTAATCAAATAATCAAATACTCAAACATTCGAATACTCGAATATTCGAATAATCGTATACTCGAATATTCGAATACTCGAATATTCAAATACTCGAATATTCGAATACTCGTATAATCGAATATTCGAATACTCGTATAATCGAATATTCGAATACTCGTATAATCGAATATTCGAATAGTCGAATACTCGAATATTCGAATATTCGAATATTCGAATACTTAGAAATATTCGAATAGTGAATAATTTGGGTATTCGAATAAAGTTTCAAACGAATATTCGAATACAAAAATCTGAAAAATTCCGAGCCCTAGTAAATATAAAATCAATTAATTTATATCTTTTGTTACAGGTTTTTAAACAGAAACATTTCCCAAGAAGATGAAAACCAAATCGAATTCAGCTTCGATGCCCGACATAATCCATAAAACATTCACAATGAAAACTGCACTTCCATTAAACTAATCCTTTAAAAAAACCTTCCTCTTATAGACAAAACTCTTTCAAAGGAATAAAATGTCCACCTACTTATTCCACGTTCTAATATCATCGATCTCTTTTCTCGTAACTCTAACTTTTCTTTCTTCCACTAAGATCCATTGTTCCCCTTTGACTACAATAGAAAACGAAAGACAAGTGAGCATCGAGGACAGCGTGATCTCCTCTCAAATAGTTTTCCGAGGAAGCACCTTTGTGGTCGACGAGCCCGAAGAGCGAGGAATGAATACTAACACGGCCACGGCCTACTTTTTCTTGAAGAATTCTTATAAGGGTGGAGCCGCCATTAACGATTTGGTGGCTAACAATTTTGGGTAAGTTGTTTAGATTTCGGGGCATCCTGTATAGGGAAGATTAGTCGAAGTTTACGTACCTAAGAAAAATTATTAATATTTTTGAGATAAATTTTAATTTATAGTTGGTATTTAGTTAAAATAAATGACTATACATACAGGGTGTATCAACGATGCGTCGGTGACGATAGTTGCTTCCCTATTTGACATAGGAAATGTCTCAAATTATAGCTGTGAAAGGCAATAAAAGCTATGTTTCAAAACTAAGAAAAAATTTAAAGGGGGTCCGATAAATGTGTGACTTATTAAAGTTGTTTTTTTTTTAACAAAACACCTAAAATATAACACTGAATTCCTTTGGAAAATATAACGTTGTATATGGGTTTATACCAGCTGTTTCGGTATTTATAGTGGGATATTTCATTCAGATCATTTTTAGCAAAGTTATGGGCGTTTGAAAAAGAAATCTCTGAATTTTTTAAAAGTCGAGAACCCGAAAACGGTTAGAGAAAAAAATTGAAAAAATCATGGAGGCCTCTATTCAAACAGAAAAGTTTAAAAATATCCAAGATTCAAAAGTTAAATGGTGTTCGATTTGGCATGGAATACCCCATATATAATTTGTAGTTAAACCAGAGATCTAGTGACTACCATAAAACAGCAGGCAATTTACTTATCAGTAGGCGGCCGCCTCTACGCAGAGACGTACCTACTCTAGCAGAATTGTTTATTTTAATTATACAGTGTGTACAAAAGGTAACGTGGTAACTTGGTAAAAGCCAAAATCAGTATGACAAAGTACGAAAAACTAGGTAGATAATAAAAGTACTAAGAAGTAAAAAATAAAGTATTTAAAAGTACAAAATGTAGGTTGAATATATAAAATGTAATAAGTATAACGTGGTAAATGGTAAAATTAAAAATCGGTATGACAAAGTACGAAAAAGTAGGTAGGGAACAGAAGTACTAAAAAAGTAGAAAATAAAGTATTTAAAAGTACAGAATGTAGATTGAACATATAAAATATAATTATTAAAAAGTATAAAGTGGTAAAAATAAATATCAGTATGGACAGTATGACAAAGTACGGACAAGTAGCTAGGTCAGTGATTGTTTCTACCCTTACATTGTGCATAACAAATAAAGTATTAAAAAATGAAATGTAAAAATTCCACTATTGTCAATCCTGACGATAGAAGTTTATGCTTCTGAAACAATTGTCGATTTTGAATTACTTAGATAAGTATTTTTATTAATATAGTGGAATTTTTATATTTCATTTTCTAATATTTTATTTATTTAAACAAAATTACTCACGAAGTTCAGTTTCACTTTCGTCATCCAAATTAATAATAAACCTTGCTCTTGGTATCTTTTCTATATCAATATATGTATTTTCCACCTTTTTGAATGGGAAACATACTTGCTTCAGCTGCTATCAGGAATTTTTGTAGCTTCTGTTTGAATAAGTGCTACCACAGTCGAACTTAAGGTTAGAGAAGTATTATTTCTTCAATCCGTTGACTTAAGGTGACGCCATATAATAATATGTTCAATTGGGTTAAACATACAGTGGAAAGAAGTCTGAGCACCGTATGTCCCAAGCTCTCAGCTAATGTGTCACAAACTTATTTCTTTTGTATTGAATAGCTTTTTAAAACTTCCAGTAACTGTTTTTTTGTGTACTTTTCCTCAAAGTACAAATCATTATTTACCATGTAATCTTGTATGATGGCTTTTATATCGTTTGAACAAGGTGGCTTATATAGTTTTCGACTGTGGTAGCTGGCATTATCCATGACGATAACACTGTTGGGTGGAATATTTGGCAAAAGTTTAGTTTGGAACCAATCTTCAAATAATTTGTCAGTAGTGTCGTCATGGTAGTCGACTAGAAGTCTTTAATATTTTTTGCCGATAACGACAACGCATTAGGTATAAAACCATTATTTGTTCCTGCGTGTGTTATAGTAATACGTTTGCCTTTATTATGTGGCGCATTAGTCTGGCACAAGTCAGATGAGTCTACCCAACTTTTGTTTGGAATATCGTGTGTATCCAACCAAGTTTCATCCAAATACACAACTGTTCTGCGAGCTTCTCTAAAATCATTTATTGCCAATAAATATTGAAATTTCCATTGCTTAAGGCGCACAGATTTCATTATGACTTTTTTGCTGTTATTAAATTTTTTAAATTTAAACCCGTTTCTTAAAAGAGACTTGCTTAAAGTCTCTTTGCTACACTGGATGCCAATTTCGTCCTTTTCAAGTCGTTGCATCAATATATCTAATATAGGCACAATTTGCAATGTATACAAGTCATATATTTTCCTTCGAATTAAGTCTACATCACAGCCATCTAGTTCCTTTGAAGTACCAGAGTCTTTTCTTTTTCTTCTTTTTAAAATAGGGTTACTTACTATTTTAAATACTGTAGAATACGGTGTTTCGTTAAAAAGGCAGTTTCTCGCACTGCTTGGGTCTTGGTCATTCCATCTTCCATAGGGAGGTATAAACACTTAATATTTTTTTCCCATCAACGTGTAAAACTTGTCGATTAATGGTATAACCACCACCCGTTAAAGTACTGGCTGCAGGTTCAACCCATGGACGGAAAATTTTTCACTATATAATTTTTTTAATAAGACTTCAAAATAAATGCAACTGACACAACGAAATATTCGTTAATGACTGAGTTTAGTTTAACTACTATCCTCCTTTCGTTTCTAAAAACGGTAATTGGTCAGTTCTCAAAACAGTTACATACTAACTCCCCATTATTTATTTAACTTTCTCTAATATGTCTGGAATTATAGGGATCGATATCTTAAACAATAGTATTCTTAAGGGTGGGTGGCTTAGTGGCAGAGTCTCTGCCTGCGGATTCAAGGGTCCCGGGTTCGAAAGCCACCGTTGGCCGGGATTTTTTCATTTAATTTAATTATTTTAAATTAATTCTGATGCCTTGGTAGGATTCCCCACTCGACCATTCACTGTTGAATTCTAATTAACAGTACTGTTCCTAAAGTGGCGCTGGGAAACAGTTACAAAGCCTACATATTACACGAGGCGAAATAACCCTGGTAGTTGAAGCCGATGACATAGACACAAAAAAAATGGTATTCTTGTCTTCAAAGTCTGATAATTTATTTGTAACTCTATATATCATTATCGCTAATCTCCTTAATAGACGTTTAGTACAGAAAGTGGCTTATGCCCACTTCGTACTGTCCCATTTCGTACTACGACCCTTAAATGTCCCACTTCGTACGGCGTTCCAAATGTTTACCTATGACTAGTCTCATTTCGTACGACGTATTATACTGAACCAGTCACAAATGTTAATTTCACACTTACAAATTTTTGTCGAAATTAATGTGTTGATATAATAAAGCATACATTTATTTGTGAAAAATATGTTTATTAAGCCGGCTACTCACTACGCGTTACTTGCCAAGTACTTCGCAAGTACCATGTATTGTGTATGGAGACTTGTATAGACTCAGCAAGTTACTTGTACTTCCCGTCGGTTGTCGGTAAACGGACCGAAGTCAAAGGATCCGAGTAAAGTGTTTCGCTACCCTAAATTGCTACTTTAGAAGGCGCGCGTAATGTAGACGATTTACTTGTACTCGAACAAGTACTTGCCAAGTTCAGTTCAAGTCAAGTAACTCGGCAAGTAACGCGTAGTGAGTAGCCGGCTTTACAATAAAATAAATGTAATGAATAATTTTATTTATATACAGGGTAGCTGTAAAAGATGGAACTAAACCTATAGTGCTTAAACGGTTCAACATACAAAACCCAAAATTTTAGAATTTCAACTAAATATATTTGCGCATATTGTATCCCAAAAATTATTTTTTTTATAATTACAAAATTTTAAACATGGCCGCCATATTGATTTTTTTCAATAGCAACATAGGTCATGTGATATATCATTTAAAAGGGTTTAACACCCTGATTACAAAAATGTATCACACATGGGGACTAAACACAATAGAAAGGTTATTTAGCTCCCTATTAATAATATTAATGGAAATATTTTTCCAATTGCCTGCATAGCTCCTATTTCAAAATCCGTTTTGAATCGTTGTGGCTGCCATTGAGGTATTTTCAATTTGATACATGAAAACAGTCGCTCGTAGGTAGTCTGTTTTCGGTCAGGTATTAGAGCATATACAACTGGTATAATATTTGTTGCATCAAGAGTGCTGCCTAAGTCTGCATGTATAGTATACAATTGACTAAAAAGTTTATTACAACATTTGAAGGTTCCATCCACAAAAAGTTGCTCAATGCTTTAAAGCATTGACGACCATACTTGCTGCAGAAAGCTAATATACGGTCTTCTCCATCCTTATCATCAATCATTAAAAAATCATCTGCTAACTCTTGTGGAATTATTACATCACTTCTGCTTGGAAAACTGGGGAAACACAGTGCTCGTTGATGATTTCTATATAAAGAGGTACTTTTGTGACAAAATCTAAACCAGCCTCTTTCAATTCAGAGAATTACTCATTAAATATTTTTGGTATTGGAATTAATTCTTTTCGGGCCTTTTTCTTGCATTTATCAAAGCACTTTAAAACTTCCATTTTAGGTTCATCAGGTACACAAGTATGTTGTTTATTTTTAGGAATAATTTTGTTATTGACTGTTGTTAAACTATCACCACACTTGTTCCGATTTACACAGGTCCAATTTTTCGATCTGTTTTTATTCTTGGCATTCAGATAATGTTGATATCCCGAATATAAAGCCATTTCACGATCCTTGAAACTTTGCACTAACTCAATCACTTCATTTACTTCATCCATAGTTTTTGCCTGCTCTAGAGATTCAATACAATCAAAAAAGTTTATATACCAGTATCGGTAGTTTCGAATATCCCACTATCATATCTTTTAAATACGCCCTTATTTAACCCCACCAATTCTGTAAATAATAAAATATCAAACATTTTTCGCAAAACATAAAATAAATATTTTGCGAAAAACCCAAAAATACTCGGGT